CCACCATGTCCCAGTGTCCCCATCTGGCCATGTCCATCTCATGTCCCACCATGTCCCACCACGTCCCCATCTCCTCATGTCCCACCATGTCCCAGTGTCCCCATGTCCCACCATGTCCCACCATCTCCCACCACATCCCAGTGTCCCACCATATCCCCACGTCCCACCACATCTCCATGTCCCACCACATCCCCATGTCCCACCACATCCCCACGTCCCACCACATCTCCATGTCCCACCACATCTCCATGTCCCACCACATCTCCATGTCCCACCACATCTCCATCTCCCACCACATCCCAGTGTCCCACCACATCTCCATGTCCCACCACATCTCCATCTCCCACCACATCCCAGTGTCCCACCACATCTCCATCTCCCACCACATCTCCATGTCCCACCCCACCCCGGCTGTCCCCCCGTTGTCCCCACCATGGCGGCCACGGGGAACAGGTAGGGGTGGTTGCAGCACTTCTTGAGGTCCATCATGATGTTGAGCAGGGACACCTGGTTCCCACCACCCCGAGAGTTCAGCGCCTCAAAGTTCCTGGTCAGGATGTACTTGTAGTACTTCCTGTGGGGACAACAGGGACACGCGGACGTGGTGGCACCGCTGGGGACACCAGCAGCAGCAGGAGGAGGAGGAGGAGGAGGAGGAGGAGAGGAAGCAGAAGAAGAAGAAGGAGAAGAAGCAGAAAAAGAAGGAGAAGAAGAAGGAGGAGAAGGAGAACCAGAAGAAGAAGAAGAAGAAGAAGAAGAAGAAGAAGAAGAAGAAGAAGAAGAAGGAGAAGCAGAACAAGAAGAAGGAGAAGAAGAAGAAGGAGAAGGAGAAGAAGAAGAAGGAGAAGACACAGAAGAAGCAGAAGAGGAAGAAGTAGAAGAAGGAGAAGAAGAAGAACCAGAAGAAGGAGAACCAGAAGAACCAGGAGAAGAAGCAGAAGCAGAAGCAGAAGAAGCAGAAGAAGGAGAAGAAGGAGAAGAAGAAGAAGCAAAAGAAGCAGGAGAAGCAGAAGAAGCAGAAGAAAAAGAAGAAGAAGCAGAAGAAAAAGCAGAAGGAGAAGAAGAAGCAGAAGAAGCAGGAGAACCAGGAGAACCAGGAGAAGCAGAAGGAGAACCAGTAGAAGCAGAAGAAGCAGAAGAAGAAGCAGAAGGAGAAGAAGAAGCAGAAGAAGCAGCAGAAAAAGCAGAAGAAAGAGAACCAGAAGGAGAACCAGAAGGAGAAGAAGAAGCAGAAGAAGCAGCAGAAGGAGAAGCAGAAGAAGAAGAAGAGGAACCAGAAGAAGAAGCAGAAGCAGAAGAATCAGAAGAAGAAGGAGAAGAAGAAGCAGAAGAAGAAAAGCAGAAGAAGAAGGAGAACCAGAAGGAGAACCAGAAGAACCAGAAGAAGAGGAACCAGAAGAAGAAGCAGAAGGAGAACCAGAAGCAGAAGAAGAACCAGAAGAAGAAGCAGAACCAGAAGGAGAACCAGAAGAAGCAGAAGAAGAAGAAGCAGAACCAGAAGGAGAACCAGAAGAAGCAGAAGAACCAGAACCAGAAGGAGAACCAGAAGGAGAAGCAGAAGAAGCAAAGAAGAAGCAGAAGAACCAGAAGGAGAACCAGAAGGAGAAGCAGAAGAAGCAGAAGAAGAAGCAGAAGAAGAAGAAGAACCAGAACCAGAAGAAGCAGAAGAAGAACCAGAAGGAGAAGCAGAAGGAGAACCAGAACCAGAAGGAGAAGCAGAAGGAGAAGCAGAAGAAGCAGAAGAAGCAGAAGGAGAACCAGAAGAAGCAGAAGAAGAAGAAGCAGAACCAGAAGAAGAAGAAGAAGAAGAAGAACCAGAACCAGAAGAAGCAGAAGAAGAAGGAGAACCAGAAGGAGAACCAGAAGCAGAAGAAGCAGAAGTAGAAGCAGAAGGAGAAGCAGGAGAAGAAGAGGACATCTCCCTACTTCTGCATGGGGCTGAGCTCCACGCGCACGATCAGCTCCGTCTTGGCCGGCATGTTCTTGAAGACGTCGGCCTTGAGGCGCCGCAGCATGTGGGGACCCAGAAGGTCGTGGAGCTTCTTGATCTGGTCCTCCTTGGAGATGTCGGCAAACTCCTCCAGGAAGCCCTCCAGGTTGCTGGGGGGTGGTGGGGAGGAGGTGAGGGTGGGGACACCGAGAGGTGGTGGTGGTGGTGGGACGTGGGGACGTGGTGGGACGTGGAGATGTGGTGGGACACGGGGAGATGGTGGGACATGGGGATGTGGTGGGACATGGAGATGTGGTGGGACACTGGGATGTGGTGGGACATGGGGACATGG